ACGCCCTAATCTTCCAATTCCAGATAAACCAAAAAAGGACAGGGGAACATTGATACTCGTGGGATCAGTACTCTTGGGCAGTTCTGTGTTCATTAACTTCATGCTTGTAGGTGCAGCTTGTTTGGGTTTTATCCTTATTTACAACAATAAGATCACAAATTTCCGTCGAGTTCACAATGCAGCAGGGCTGAATTTGCAGTGTTTTACTTATAAAGAACTTGCACAAGCCACAGATGGGTTCAAGGAAGAACTGGGTAGAGGTGCTTTTGGAATTGTCTACAAAGGAGTAATGCCAATGGGTTCCATAACCACCATTGCAGTAAAGAAGCTGGATAGAGTGGCTCAAGATACTGAAAAAGAATTCAGAACAGAAGTGAATGTGATAGGTCAGACTCATCATAAGAATTTGGTCCGCCTGCTTGGATTTTGCGATGAGGGGCCTCATCGGTTGTTGGTTTATGAGTACATGAACAATGGAACTGTAGCAAGCTTTCTTTTTGGTGATCTGAAACCAAATTGGAATCAGAGGACTCAAATTGCAATGGGGATAACCAGGGGACTAGCGTATCTACACGAAGAATGCAGCACCCAAATCATCCACTGTGACATCAAGCCTCAGAACATACTTCTAGATGAATATTACAATGCTCGGATTTCGGACTTTGGATTGGCAAAACTTCTGATGATCAATCAGAGTCGTACCCTCACTAATATCAGAGGTACAAAAGGCTATGTTGCACCTGAATGGTTTAGAAACACCCAAGTCACCACAAAGGTAGATGTTTATAGCTTCGGCGTTTTACTACTAGAGATCATTACATGCAGAAAAAGCCTGGCGGATTTGGAATTTGGAGATGGAGAAAATCCAATTCTTACTGATTGGGTTTGGGACTGCTTTCGGGAAGGAAGACTAGATACTTTGGTTGAAAATGATACAGAAGCCTTAACTGACAAGAAAAGACTAGAAAGGTTCGTGAAGGTTGGCATCTGGTGCATTCAAGAAGATTCATCTCTGAGGCCAACCATGAGAAAGGCCTGCCAAATGCTTGAAGGAATTCTTGAAGTTAAATTTCCCCCTTGTCCATCTCCTTTCACCTCTACTGGTTAAGTTACTAAGTTAGCTTGTTCGTTACACTGCACTTTTTTTTTTTTTTTTAATTTAAATTTATGGTCAGTAATTTTCATCTTGAAGTCATCAGTTTTTGATTTGGCTATCGTTAAAATTTATGGTCAAAATTGAGTATTTTGTTTCTCAAAACCAAGTGCAAGAGATGCTGCGATTGAAGAAAAATACCCTTCCTGTGCATAGTTTACCTTACATGTCTATGATGCTTTGGTCCCAAGGACACCTCTCATCTCATGAAGACAAAATAACAAATATGATAAGTTGTACAGAATAATCTTCTTATTCTGATTAGTTTGGCAGTGCTTTGGCCTCCATAGGAGACCCCTTCTCAATTCTTTAATTGCTATATGATTAGTTGTACAGAATAATCTTCTTATTCTGATTAGTTTGGCAGTGCTCCCAGATGGTGCACATGTGTACACATTTTGGGCTATAGAAGTCTACACCATTCTGTATATTAAGAATAGAATATTAATACAGAGAAACTCTTACTTTCCATCTCGTTCTCAATTCTTTACGAGGATTAAACACTTTTCTTTCTATTGGGTAGAACTATAAATGTAGAGTTGAAAAGGTGCATCGGGTTGCTCAAGTCTGAGCAACTTGGCCAGGCTGCGCTCAACAGTTATGCTGCCCGCTCGGGATCTTTCAAACATTTTGATGTTTTAGAAAATTAAGTTAAAAGAATTACAAAAATCAAGTCCAGTGTCAAATGTTGCGGGCATGCCGTGTCCAAACCGTTCAACCCTTCTTATACATCTACATAGAACCCGTCAATGGCTGTTCCATGGGAGAGGGGAGAAAATGAATTTTCAAAACTATTAAGAAAGATTAGTTTAGTTGTATTCCAAGGCTAAATTGACTATTACAAATAAACTATTAATCTCTCACTTTTAAAAATCATTATCCTTTTCATAAATTCACTAAGGAGTAAGGAAGGATCCATTTGAAAAGTCTATGGAAAGATATTTTATTGTTATTCCAATTGCAACCAAAGAAAACTTTTTGTTAGTCTCAATGAGAATCAATTGTGAAGGAAAAATTCTAAACTCAAATGGTTTGCATGTCAAAAAATCATGGTTGAGAAAGAATTTACCAGTTCAACTGAATTTATTTAGTTCGTCCTTCACCGTAGATTGTACTTCCAAATCTTCTTTTCCTTATTTTATGTAGTATGAGAGTAGTATAAATGAGCCTAAGGAAGGCTCCTTCCAAAACATCAGCAAAACAAAAACATTTTATTGTTTGAAGTAGTGTTTTAATTCTTTTAGGCAAACCAAATTTCACATGGCTTTAGCAGTTTCAAGTAAAATATATTTTGTCCTGCTGTCGTTTTTGTTTTCGTTCTCAGCCACTGCCCAGCCTTACACGAATGTTACTTCAGGTTCATTAATAACTGCAAACAATGCAAATTCCACCTGGGAATCACCATCTGGAGAGTTTGCTTTTGGTTTCCAGCAGATTGTTCCAGGAGCTTACTTATTGGCCATCTGGTTCAACAAAATACCTGAAAGAACCATTGTTTGGTCTGCCAATCGTGATAACCTCGTCGGAGAAGGATCGAAAATTCAATTGTTTGAAGATGAAAGGTTTGAACTGAGTGATCCTAAAGGCCAGCAGATATGGGCTGCTACTTTGTCTGGTGTTGGTGTGGCCTATGGAGCCATGCTTGACACTGGTAATTTTGTGTTAGTAAAGAACAACTCAGTTGTTTTGTGGCAGAGTTTTGATGAGCCAACTGACACATTATTACCAACACAGACATTGAATCAAGATGGCAGACTAGTTTCCAGCTTCTCTAAAACAAACTATTCGAGAGGAAGATTCCTCTTCACATTACAAAGTGATGGAAATCTTGTGTCTTACACCAGAAATTTCCCCATGGATGAAATGAATTTTGCGTATTGGGCAACGCAAACTACGGGCAGTGGTTTCAAGGTGGTCTTCAACCAGGCTGGTTACATCTTTCTAGTAGCAAAAAATGGAAGTGTACTCAATGTTTTGTCTTCAAATGCAGACTCGACTAGTCAATTTTACCAGAGGGCAATACTAGAATATGATGGTGTTCTCAGGCACTATGTCTACCCTAAGTCTGCCAATTCAGCAGGTGCAAGAGTGATGGCATGGTCTACCATGAATTTCATACCTTCGAATATATGCATGCGCATAGTAGAAAGAACAGGCAGCGGGGCCTGTGGTTTTAATAGTTTCTGCTCAATGGGAACTGATCAAATACCAAAGTGCGAGTGCCCTATTGGTTACTCTTTCATAGATCCAAATGACAGAATGAGCGGATGCTATCCAAATTTCGCTCCACAAAATTGCGATGAAGAGGCACGTGAAACTGAACTTTTTAGTATCACTGACATGCCCAACACCGATTGGCCTCTCTCTGATTACGCGCATTTTCAGCAAGTAACAGAAGATTGGTGTCGACAGGTTTGCCTCAACGATTGTTTTTGTGCTGCTGTGATATATAGAGACGGTAATTGTTGGAAGAAGAAATATCCTCTCTCCAATGGGATAGTTGATTCTAGTGTAGAGGGGAAAGCTATGATAAAAATAAGGAATAACAACGGAACCACATATTAGGACGTGCCCCGAGAGTCATTTTGAATGAAGCTCGTGACCTTTTTTTTATTAATAATACAATTTCAAATTTTTGTGTGTGTGTGTTTTGCATATTTAAATTGAGTAACGAATTGTAAGGATTTGCGATCACAATTGAAGTCATAAGTTGTATACTTGAGTTGTTAACTATGGAAAGACACAATTTGTAACGTGAACCATAACCGAAATAAGAATAATATGATGTGTTTCTTTATGACAAAATTATGAATAATTTAATCTACTTATGTAATTATGATTAAATAACTAAACTAAATGCAAATCATATTAAATGCAAATTGATGTGTTTAATAAATGACAAGCGCACTAGATCCCGAATTCCTATGCAATAATTCCTGTTAACTTTAGTTATACACTTTGACAACACGGTTGAATTTTGATGAATCAATATTCCTATTTTATTTAACAATCTCTCTTGAGTAATGTTAAACATACTCTCATATATGACCCGACTATATTTCTACGACGAATGCGTACATACAAGAGTGCACGAATTTCTATGAATATTTAAAGATTCACATAGAGTATAACGATATATTTTTATCCTCTATCAGACCTTATGACGATTTATGTTATGTCGAACCTATTTTCTTTCTTTTGAATGTATAAAATGGGCCACTAAATTCATACAATTACCGTGCACAATAATTATGGAGAAAAGATAATCATGTAAATAATTCAAAATCTAAAAAAACATGTTTTCAATGTCAAATGTGTAAAACTAAAAATTAAAAATTTATATTACGAGGTTTATCATTCTTCTAGTACAAATAAATCTAGCCTAACATGTTATGAAGAAGAACGTAAAATAAATATTGAATAATCAATATCACCCAAATAAATTTTGAATTGAATATTCAAGTCTTGATATCATTTTCGTGTTTCTTGCTTTTTCCTATACTCCAAAATCTCTTAAAATGTGTTGTAATGCGTTCTCCCCACTTCTGGACGGCTATAGATCTTTAAAAGACGTCCCAAGATTTGTTTCTGTAAGAGTTGGAATCACATAATGAAATTAGAATATTTTCTCCAAAAATACACTATGCTATTGCATAGTACATTTTAATGCTATAGCATAGTTCAACAATTTCAACTTGGGAAGACCCTACATCACTCAATGCGACCGCATGGCTGAAAGAACTATGCTATAGCATAGTTCAAATATAATTTCATTTTTTTTTGCGTTTTGTTCCCGGAACTCTGTTTTCTCGTTTCTTGACCTCTTTTCCCACTTTTTCTTCTTCCAATACTTCACGTTTCCATTAAATTGGTTTTCAACTCTTTCTCATCTTTGTTTCTTCTTTCAGATCATCTTTCGACTATTTGCACTTTGGTTCCTGAACTTTAATTTTATTTCATTTTAGCCATTTGTCTCTTGTTTTTCTTAAATTCCACAATGTCCATCAATGTTATCATACAAAATATAATTTACATATAACTAAATCATATATATTCCGATATATTTGCTAATAACTATCCATATTTTGTGAACTAAATAAGTGTGTAAAATGCACTTATCAAACATAAATAAGATTTCACTCGCATATAATGAGTCACATGAATCCAAAGTGTGTAATGAGCTTTGTTTTTAGTTCTAATTCTTTGAAGTGCCAAGGAGTTATATGTAATTCATATTATCAATAATTTATGAGTTTTGAATTGAGACTCAAGTATGTCAAGATTGAAAGTAAAAACATAAAATGCCATGTAAAGTTAAATAAGAATTCAAGTACTACTCTTTTCCATGTCAAGTGATGAAATAGAGTTACCAGGAGTTTTGGTGCATTAAAAATGACTATTATATATAAGAAAACTAGACTTCCACTTTAAAAATAATAATAAATAAAATTTCCTTTTTAACTTCGTTTTGTTTAGGGTTTCTTGATTTGGGCTCTTCGCAGTTGCTTCAAAGATCGCACGTTTGCTGTAAGATTAGATTGAATATTTCTTCTGGTTCTTTGTAGTTTTTCAGGGGTTCTGTTCGTCACGTGGTTTAACATATTCACTCTATTGAGTCCTATACTGGCTCAGTTCAATTCAATTTTCCCCTCCCAGTTGTTCAGTGGTTATTCCTTATGCATATACAGGGAAATGTGTATCAATTGTAGCCTATTTATCATGATTGCATGAGTCATATCATTTAGCCTACACTCGACAAATTTATAAATCAATTTATAAATAGGAATATTGAGATGAATAGTAGTGGGTCCCATAAAATATCACTACACCAAAAAACACAATTTGCAACACATAAAAGGCAACATTCGATAGTTAGGTGTTGCTAAAGGGGTCTATCGCAATATTTTAATAAATGAATGTTGCTATTGATTAATATAATTAAGCTTTAGCAACATTTGTAAATAAATGTTGCAAAAAGTGTATTTCACAACGTTTATTAAACGCTGCAAAAAGTTTTATTTTTTGCAACGTTTAATAAACGTTGCAAAAATTAAAGAAGATACAAATTGGTTGTAGCCCACTATTGTTCAAGTCCACCATTATCCAAATCCAAATTTGGCAGTGGGTTACAATAAACCTTTGGCCCATTGATTTATTTAATTTTCGGCCCAATTAAAAAAACTATTTAACCTTTTTACATTCACTTTTCTTCTATCCTTTACCTAAAAACCCAATTGAAAACCCCCAAATCTTCACGATTTCACCCAAACTTGCTGAGCACGGGAGAAAAATCCAAACTTGAAAACCCCCAAATCTTCACGATTTCACTATAGAATATCAATCCAAACTTGCGGAGCACGGGAGAAAAATCTAGTATGAATTATTCCACTTTTTGTGCTCATCGGAATGATGGAAAAGATATTTTTGATGCTGGACTGATATTTTAAACTGGAAACATGTATAATGAAATTATTTTGAATATTGCACAATGTATATGCCAGTTGAATATTGCATGGTTTAATTAGTTTCAATGCAAGAACATATTTTTCAATTTTAATTATGATTTTTTATATTTTTTGATATCTTGTCACATCTCTTTATTTATTGAATATTTTATTTATGGTAAAAAGTGCAAAATTACAGTTAGGTTGAATGTGTAGAACAAAGAATATGATTTTCGATAGCCTAGTAAGCATATATTAATAATGTGAAATAATTTTTTAAAAAATATTAAAATCACAACATTGAAAAAACGCTGCAACATGGTCTACTGCAACTTTTAAAAAATGCTGCAAAAGGGTCTACCGCAACGTTGAATGTGTAGAACAAAGAATATGATTTTCGATAGCCTAGTAAGCATATATTAATAATGTGAAATACTTTTTAAAAAAATATTAAAATCACAACATTGAAGAAACGCTGTAAAATGGTCTACCACAACGTTTAAAAAACGCTGCAAAATGATTTTTCGCTACGGTAAATAAACGCTGCAAAAAGTCTTCCCTCAACGGCAACACCGACCTTCGCATCACACGCTAAAACGCTGCAAAAGGTCTACTGCAGCGTTTTTTGACCACTGTAAAAGGTCTTTTTTGGTATAGTGTATGTGAATGGTAAATAAGTAAAAGTCATGATTAATTGTTTGATTTAAATTAATATTTGATTTTATTTATTTATCAATTGATTGCCGAACTGAGGCTTAATGTAGTAGCATTGTTGTTTGCAAATTGTAGCCCTTGTTTGGGCTTCATTAAATAAAAAAATACATTTTTTTTAAAACTCATTTTCAACCACACATTTTTCAATAAAATATATTATACGTAAACCCAAAATTTTTCCTTATTTTTTAATCACATATTTTTCAAAAAAAAAAAAAAAATTACTATTTTAAAATACATTTTTCCCAAAATCTTATTATATATATATATATTTTCAATAGAGTATCTCATAATGAAGTCACAAAAGCATTCAATATGAACCATGAAAAAATAGAAAGTCATCATACAAATTTTAGAAGTATGGGGATGATTTTTAAAGGTTGTTTGCGTTCTTAAACTTAAAAGTGGTTAAAATATGATTGTGTCAATGCTCGGGGAAAAAGATATAAGTTTTGTTCTTCTCTTCCTACGTGATTGAGGTGTTGCTTCCACAGAACGAAAATTTGTTATATGATGAAAGTCTTGAAATGAGTAAAGAGATTTTCTTATTGATAATTTAGAATGAACATGTACAATGGTTTATATAGTGATGAACCCTTCAATTAGTTTCCTGTAATTTTGGCTATGTAATCTCCTAGTATTATCAATCTATGATTAGTGCACACCTAGCAATATCTAAGAATGGAAAGATAATTACAAGAAATCACTCCCTCTCAAGTTGGTGCAAAGATGTCATACATGTCCAACTTGTCTAAAATTTTTGAGAAAACTCGGTTTGAAATAGCTTTGGTGAGGATATCGGCTTTTAGGCAACTCCACAATCTTTCTATCCAACTTTACCTTAATGAAGAATCTGTCTACCTCAACATGCTTTGTTTGATCATTTTAAACTATATCACATGCTACTTTATTATTACAGCATAATCAAACTGGTTGTCTTGATGAATAGCTAAAATTTTCCAAGAGAAATCTTAGCCTTAACGCTTCAAAAATTCTGAGCACTATTCCTCTATATTCATCTTCTGCACTTGAGCGAGCAACAACATTTTGTTTCTTGCTTTTCCATGTAACAAGATTTCCACCAACAAAGGTAAAGTATCCAGAAGTAGATCGTACGTCATCCTTTGCTCTAGCCCAGTCAGCATCAGTATATATGCCTATGTTTTGCTCTCCTATGTTTTTAAAGAATAAAATTCCTTTTCTTGGAGTAGATTTCAGATACCTTAAAATACGCATAAGAGCATTCATGTGCTGTTTGCTAGGATTATGCATAAACTGACTCACAATATTCAGTGTATAGGCTAGATTTGTTCTTGTGTGTGCTAAGTACATCCCCACAAGTCTCTGGTACTTGATCAACTTTAATACATAGCTTCAAACCTTCTTCTATTGGTGTATTAGCTAGTT